CGAAACTTCCTTAATGTTCTTGTTGGTTGAGGAAGGGTTTTGTTTGACTTATAGTTAAATGCATCTTAATTGACAAACATTTGGGAACTGTCTACACACGGAGTGCAGGTGAGCTCACTGGGGCACAGTGGACACAGAGGAGAATCCAGGCCAGCAGAACATCACATTGAAAAGCTGAGGGCCCGGGTGCGGTGGCTCGCCCCTGTAATCCCAGCACTTTGGGAGGCCAAGGCGAGCAGATCACTTGAGACCAGGAGTTCGAGACCAGCCTGGGCAACATAGCAAAACCCTGTCTCTACTAAAAATACAAAAATGAGCCAGGCATGGTCAGGCATGGTGGTGTGTGCCTATAGTCCCGGCTACTTGAGAGGCTGAAGTGGGAGGACTGCTTGAGCCTGGCAGGTCGAGGCTGCAATAAGTACTGATTTGCACCACTGCACTCCAGCCTGGGCAACAGAGCAAGACGGTCTCAAAAACAAAACAAAACAAAAAACTGAGGGAAAAAAGGAGGTGGTAATGATAGCTAAGAGGCAGAGCCTAGAAGCAGAGGGCAATGGGAGGCAGCAGCTTGGTGCCTAAGAGCTTGGTGGAGGTACTGAGAAGGAAGGAGCAGTGGACAGTAGAGGACGCTGCTGGCTGAGAAGTAAAATAAGACAGGCAAGTCCTCATCTACCTTGGTAAGGACAGATATTGACTGGGAGTGGGAGAGGAGGGGATGACAGGGGAAAGCAGGGAGAGGACACCTGGAGCTTTTTCAGAGAACCTGGTTGCCATGGTTACTACTGAAAGTGACCTGGCTGGGTACAGTGGCTCATGCCTGTAATCCCAGCACTTTGGGAGGCTGAGGCAGGAGGACTGATTGCGTCTGGGAGGCTGAGGTTGCAGTGAGCTGTGATCACACCACTGCACTCCAGCCTGGATGACAGAGCAAAATCCTGTCTCAAAAAAAATAAAATAAAAAAGAAAGTTGACCCTAGTCAGGGTATAGGAGATCCTGGCTTTGTGATGAATTGGCTGCGGGACCTTAGGCCAGGCTCTTCCTGTCTCTTTTTCCACCTCAATCCCCTCTGCCGGTAAAATGGAGGGGGCCTGGAGGAGGATCATCAGGCCCTTCCCTGCGGCTGGCCTCCTTATGGGCAGCCACCACGCTGAGCACCCCATGTAACAAGCACTGGCCAGGGGCCTTCCACCGAGGAGCATCTCATCGAATCCTCCCAACACGCTGCCCTCGCTGTTCCCATGCCCACTTCACAAAGGAGGCCCCAAGAGAAAGAGAGATGCAAAGTTGCTTGCTCAAGATACTACAGCTAGTGAGCTAGTGGTAAGTTCTAACCTCATCCCCAGCATCCCCAGATCCCGCCCAGCACTCTGCACAGCTCATCCCTGCCTGCCCATGTCTCCCCTTTTCTCGGACTTGCTAAATCCCCTCTCTGGGAAGCCACCCTGATCAGCCTCATCCCACTTTAGGTGCCTCCATGAGCTCAGCATTGCCACAGCCCTCTGCCAAGCTAAGTGGACTGTCCAGGCAACTTTGCGCCTTGCCAGAGCCCTGCAGAAGCAGGAGGCTGAGCTCTACCCTCAGGCTCTTCATCCCTCTCTGACCCTGAATCCTGAGCCCACTGATATACCTGGCAACTACAGCCACAGCCTGGCCTGGGGCTGGGGCTGGGCCAGGCCTCCTGAGCTAAGGGTGGGACTTGTGTGGCTTTACACAAAGCCAGGGCCCTGCCACCATCAGCCAGGAGTGGGAGCAGCTTCCTCAGACCAAACAGGCGAGAGGAAGGGCCATGCCTCCCCAGGCCTTGCTCTTTCTCTGGGGCCCCCTCCTGCAGCCAGGACCCAGACCCTTCGGGCCTCTGCTCTCACCTTGCCGACTCACAGGGGCACCTACGCCGCCATAGCAGGAAGGGACTGAGATCTTTTCTTCTGAGCCACGCCCATCACTCAACATGTCCACCTCATCTTCTGCAGACAGGGATGCCCAGGTCACTGCTTTGGGGCCGAGGCCCAGAGGAAACTCACGCCCTGGGCCCTGGCCAGTGTGACGCAGCCTATGCAGTGTGCCCCAGGGAGTTTGAGGAGAGAGAATTCACAAGGCTGGGGAGCAAGGACCCAACCAGAATGGGGCTGTTCTTGTAGTTCTTCCAGTTCTGCTCCCAGAGGGACCTGCGTAGCCAATGCCAATGCTATGGTGGGGTGTTGGGGGGTGGGGATCCAAAGGCCTGAGCTACAGGAGTCAGGGTGGCAATGTGTGCACAGGCCTCTTGGGAGAAACGGCTGTCATGCTGGAAGAGGCTGGAGGGGGAAGGCGGACTGGGATCCCGACCCCTGGGCTGGGTAATCTCTTGGCCCCCACGTGGTTTCTAGGCACACACTGGCCAGTTCCACAGTGGGTCAAGGGGTTCGAATGTGAGTGGCAACAACTGTGCCAAGGGTATGGGGCCTCCTAATCTGAGAGCTTCCAGGAGGGAAGCCCAGCCCTCAGAGTGGACAGTGTGGGAGCTGCAGATAACACAATGTAGGCCGCTGCACCAGCTGACAAGGGCCTTGTGATTTCTCTCCATTGGCCCAACTGTAGGAGGTGCCAACACATGAGAGGCGAAGAGGGCATGAGGGCGGGGCACACTTACCATCCCCGTAGATGCGGATTCCTCGCCTCCTGGAAACCCAGGCAGGAGGAAGGAAGAAATATAAGTTAGGGCCCCTGGAATGATACCAGGGAAAAGGCTCTGGGCACCGGACTTCAGTCAAAGCTCAAAGAGATGGAAGCGGGGCCTCTACCTCCTGAGGACTTCCAGCCCCAAATCCCAGCCCCAGCCTGGGGTGAGACAAGGGACAGGCTTCAACATGACTCACTTTGCCCAGTGGAGAAGGATGGGGAAGGGGTGAAGAGCAGAGTCTTAGTGGGAAGACTACAAGGCTTGCAAAGCCCACGAGTTCAGCCCCAGCTCTGCTCCGCAAAGGCTGTGAGGCCTGTTGCTTAACCTCTCTGAATCTTCTAGGCCTTAGAATGACTCAAAGTGGGGCCAGGCGCAGTGGCTCACACCTAGAGTGCTGGTAATCCCAGCACTTTGGGAGGCCGAGGCGGGTAGATCACGAGATCAGGAGATCGAGACCATCCTGGCTAACCCAGTGAGACTCGTCTCTACTAAAAATACAAAAAATTAGCCAGGCGTTGGGGCACGCGCCTGTAGTCCCAGCTACTGAGGCTGAAGTAGGAGAATCGCTTGAACCTGGGAGGCAGAGGATGCAGTGAGCCGAGATCATGCCACTGTAATCCACAGCCTGGGCAACAGAGCGAGACTTGCTCTCAAAAAAAAAAAAAAAAGGCCGGGTGCGGTGGCTCAAGCCTGTAAT